TCTTTTGAATAGTTGTTGCACCCCGGTGGTGTTGTGTAAGTGATTAATCTTATTAAAATGTTTTGGATAATTCTTTAACTGTTAGACTTCTGATGACGTAACCTTATCCTTTAGAATTGTAGTTTAGCCTTAAACAGAACTGCATTGTACTTAGTGCCAGGTGATTACCATTCGGAGTTTGCTCTCCTTAAACTCGAGATTGTATTTTTAATTACGTTCGAGAACATTAAACTCTACGTTGGAAAAGTCCCTGTCTGTTTGCTCTCTGGTTTCTCTCTGGATTCTCTTGCTGTAACTTATTTGGAAACCTCTAGGAGCTGACAAATCCGTCGCAGCATGCATGGCTTCTCCGCAGTTAGGGGTTATTTGGAACAAGCCTCTACGGCTTCAAAACTAAATGTCAAACCTGGAACAAATGCTTTTTGTTTTTCATACGATAACAACTTTAAGTTATTAGAAGAGTTCGTCTTGAGAGCAAACATCTGCCGCCTCAGTTGGGTGTTTAAAGAACTCTTTCGAATACTCAAGTGGCGACCCGCGCAACGAGGACAGCGGAAAAGAAGTTTATTCCTGCTGTGTAAAAGTCTTTTTTTAACCAGAGGCGCAGTTTACATCAGGACCATAAGGAGTAAACAGTAAACTCTTTCTACAGTAAACTCTTTGAAAATCGGTCTCTAGGTAACGAGAATGCAAACACAGTCTCTTCCCAAAGTATAAAACAAAGGTTTTTCTAAACAAGACTCGAACTAGTTAATAACTGTCAACAAAAATGTAAATATCTTGAAAAAAGGGGATAATACCTGGATCAGTAGATCATTCCAATAGCTCAGAAGGTCTGTGAGTCAGCTTATGAGCGCGAAGACCTCTCTTGCTGGCGTTCATGCCCCGTTGACAAGAATGAGGCGATAAGAGTATCACGGTATTGTTTACATCATGACCATATGGAGAGTACTACAGTAAACTGCATTAAATGAAGCATTCATGATCAGAACAATGTTTCATTCAAATTGGCGTTGTTTTTATGACCCCCCAAAGCATGTATTCCAACGCGCACCTCTTGTTCTCATGCGCGATCAGTCCTAATGGTAATTCTCGAAAATAAAATATTCGGAAGATTTTATTTTCGAGAATTACCATTAGGACTGATCGCGCATGAGAACAAGAGGTGCGCGTTGGAATACATGCTACGCCATTTAACAATTATTCTACGAGCGCGCGTTGGATATGAGATGATAGATAGCCAACGAGGCGCGTAGCGCCGAGTTGGCTATAATCATCTCATATCCAACAAGCCGGAGTGGAATAATTGTTTTATTAAAAACATTAAATTCAATGTTAAATTTTACTAAATTTTTTTAGCTCCCTTTTAATTTTAAGCTGACGCCTACGCATACCATATACCATAACGGCTAAGCTAATAAAAAGTCTTGAATTGCATTATCCAATGATCCAGTTTTTAATATTCATTGTTATTTAATTTTCACTTTTTCTTTATAAGTACCCTGTTTGATAAACCTTCTGTTTACATTTTCATTATTCAAACTGTTTATGTTTCCATTCACGAGGTGATGAAATATTAACTGTAGAGATTAAAAGGTAGTGTAAATAAGGACAATTCCAATGTCAAGAGCAGTATACACAAACTGAAGTGCTTTAGGATAATTAGGTGCAAGAGTAGAAGTTAAAAATACATCTGTAACCATGCGAACTTTCTCCTCTTTCGCTTTGGCAGCCGCATTATTTGGGGTCTGGAAAACATGGATATTTTTCATTCTAGTTTCAACTCAAGGTTCGTAACTGCAGTTTATATATCCAGTGTTTCCAAAGAATTATTTAGACTGTGATAACAAAAAAAGGATTTAAAAAAACTTATGAAAAAACACACTGCAATCATTTACTTTTTCAATCGATCATGGAGCAAAGACAACTTTGCGTTTCTCTTTGAGCATAGCGACGGTTTCGGGTAAAATCCGGTTCTTGCAAATCAGGGTTATTATTTGCCTTGTAACAAGCAAAAAACGCAAGGACTACACGCAAAACCTGTACAGACCAGTTTCCAAAACACATTATGCCTTAACATTACATTATAATATTTTTACTCTTTCTAAGTTACGTTTATTTGATATACTCTACATGATAATCCTCGATAATTTTATCGTTTTTTCTGATTTTGTATTTTCGTTAATTCGTAAATTTATGTAACTAAAATGAGTGTAAATGAAAAGAAAAATTTAAAGTTTTTCTTGCTGTTCGGTAGAACACCGTCGATGGTGAAAAAACAATAAAGTCCAGCACCTAACTCTCCTTATTTTCTCTCAACCAGAGCACTGTCGAGTTTTAAACTTCCAAGCTACAAGTTTCAAAGACAAAGTCTTAAACAAAAGTGTCATCAAAAACATGACCGTAAAGGACGAACAGTTATGTCAGTTGAGGTGCTTTGTTGAGGAAACCTGCAAATCCTACAATCTTGGTCCGCCTGAGAGTGGAGGAGAAGGAAAACGAGTCTGTGAACTGAGCAGCTCCCACCATGTTCTGCACCCGGATTACCTTGTGTCAAAATCTGGATTTATCTACCGTCCATCAGTGGTAGGAAACTTATGTATTGTTACTTAACGCACGAGTTTGATCGTTAGAGAGGAAATTCCGTAAACACATCTATTCCCCGTGCCAGAAAAAAGTAAATCCAGTAAAAATTATCGAGATAACATACTCATTTGGAATATTGTTGAGTGAAGGAACATGACCATGATATTTGACGATGGAAAGTATTAACATAGCTAGGTATTTCGAAAATGAATTAGCATTCACAATTGTATGGAGATTTTTCAAATAATCAAAATATCACTGGGACTGGATGATTTTGTTAGAAAAGCAACGATATCCGGGCGGGGTTGCTGACAACTTGACTAGTGTGTGTGATCAACGAAACTTGTTTATTAAAAGTTGTCACCGGTTCAGATTGAAAATTAGCCATAAAAGTATCGTGAAACAGCCCTGTTCTTGTCTTTTTGACAGAATCTATGTGGAATTCCTTGCCCAGAGAAGCAATCTTGCTACTCAGTACACCACGATGGTTTTACGTGTCTGTGTCCTGACCTGGAAAATCCAGAAAATACATGCACTGAAGGTTGTTTTTCAGTCTCCGAGAATTTGTTGAAATAACTCGTAGGCTGGCTGCAATTTCACCTTACTCTGGTTGATCTTATTTCAGTAATAGTAACCAAATTGTCTAGTTTCAGTTTTTTGAAGAGTTTTCATCCATGTAAACTACTTCATTTCCAGCTTTCAAGCTTACATGACTATGGTCTGAAATTTGAAAACATACTCGTAAGCGCAATTTGAACATTTCAGCCGGATCTCGTACCTAAATCAGTTAAAGCTGCAGACAAAAGCTGTGATTCTCTCTGGTGAATCAATTATAAAGAGAGATCTTTAAAAGATCAATGCACAATCTAAGTCCCGTGTGAGGATTCCAATCCCAACCAGTTCCAGTTTTGTAGTAAAATGCTCAATCATCTAAACCGCAGTTAACTTAACTGAATCACAGAGAACTCGAAGTAAAGCGAGTTCAAAGTGTTCCGAGGGGATATCAATTTGATAAGATGGCAAATTATGGGCTCAGTTGATGAATCAAGAACACCTTTTACCATTCTGAACCTGTTGTAGTTTCAGACGTGGATGAATGTGCAGTTGACACTCATGACTGTGCTGCTGATACAGATTGTATCAACACCGAGGGCTCATTCCTATGTTCGTGTCGAGTGGGATATGTTGGAGATGGAAAATCATGCCAAGGTACACAAATGACTCAAAACATACTCTTTTAATTTCGTTCCATATTTGATGTATTTTTCTGTGCCCGTGCGGCACAAGTTTTTGATTCTTTTTCAGGTTTTCCTTTCCGTTTAAGGCTCGATGGTACTAAAGAACCTCTCAGGTAACAAAGAGATTTAAATTACTTTCATTGAATGCTCTCCCATCGCTATTCTAGGCTTTCAACGTATTTTCACCTTGTCTGGCTCGGATTATCGCGTATGGAATCTTCTAGAATGTGGTATTATCTTGTATAAACTGATTCATCTCGCTTTCCACCAGGGGAGACCACAATATCTTTCTCTCCAGTGTTGGAGAACTTGCATCCGTCTGAATAGAATCATTGACGAGACCATACCATTAGCTCCAACATTAACATAACTTGCTTACCCTTTCAATTACTTTACAAGGTTATCCTGCCGCATACCTTTCATAGGTATCTTTCAGTAGGATTTAATCATGGGATTTGATCGACATGATATGCATGACTGTATATTGATTATAAACATTGAGGTTGTTGAACGTATTCAGTTGAAGTAAATTAATGTGAATACTGATTACATGTAAAGATTGTAGCCGAGTTGAGATCGCATTGCAAGTGTATTGCAATATACCAATAATGGGTTTGTGAACAACTGAACACGACTTTGTACATTTCTACCTTTCGCAAAATATAGTCTGAACACAAGGTAAAAAAATTGGTTTGCTCTCTGATAGCTTAAGTGGAGCGGCCAGGTTCACTGTAGCAGAGGGTAATATCACAGCACTGTACCTGGATGGCAGTCCACTGACCTATGCTGTAACGCCAGCCATTCCAATCCTTATCACAGGTTTCACCATTTCTGTGTGGATCAAGCTGCTTAAGTATCCCAAGAGCTTTCAACCTATCTACGGTGACTGGTCGTCGAATGCATCATTTGCCTTGTCTGTTAATGAAGATGGTAGACTATGTACAGAGGCAAAAAGACCAGCTCCTGCTACGGACAATGTCTTCTCTACATGTGGAAAGTAAGTCCTTACCATAGTATAGAAGAGAAATTTTCATTAGAGGATCGAAATGAACTCAAAGGAATCCAAATTTCCCAATTTTTTGTGAATGAAATTGGACTGTTTTAGGCGTCCCACGCAACCCATGGGACTAGCAATATTACCAGCTACTAGCTTCCTGAACAGAAGCTGGTGGAAGATCTACTGTTGTCAAGCAATTTGAGGGGACATCGTATCAGCTGAGATCATTAATCCACTTGCCACTTAAATAAACTTTTCCCAAAGTTAACTATTTAAAATGCGGTTAGTGTTTAGACACCTTGTAGCGTTAGTATTCTATGAGTAATTATGGGGTTAAATGATGTTTAGGAAATAAATTTCATCCTCCTAAAGGGAACGACCAACAGTAACGCTTATTTTTCTGTCAGCCTGCATGTTATTCCATTAAACAAGTGGACTCATGTGGGAATGACTTGGAGGAAAAACCAACTTAATGGTAAATTGTTCTTAAATGGAAAGGCTTTTCAGTACCATGTCCGCGAAAATCCACTTCTTGCCTTCAAGAATTCAGGGCGTTTACTGCACGACATTGGGTTCAGGGAGGACACTGGTGACACAATACAAGCATATTTGAGTGATTTTGTAATCTTAAGTCGTGGAAAAAATGAGAAATATTTTAAACAGGAACTCTTTGAAAACCACCCACTCAGCAAGTTTACCTAAGCCAAAGCCTTGGAAATATGAATTGTTCATGGACCTGAAAAAAATCAATCTCTGCTTTGTAGATCACGTGTTGGAGCATTTAAATCAGAACTCGGAAATACACGAGCCTGTTATGACCCTCGGCTGAGTCTCCAAGATGCAATTTTTGGCCAAGCAGGATTTTTTTTGTTGAGTAATCGCTTCTGTAATATTACGAACAATATTATAGCATCTATCTGATTTTTTTTTTGTTAGTCTCATCTCTTTAAAAACGTGGACTCAGCGCCTTAAGGAAGAAAAATGGAGACAATTTTCAATCAAACTGCTCCGCAATTATCGAGTGGACACGGATTCTACTAAGCAAGAGTTCTCAGCAATTAAGTGATCTAATATGTTTAATTCTGAGCAAGCACAAATGACATCTGTATTGGAAGCAGCCTGCACCCTTTCTTCGGAGATTAAGCCGCATATTTTTCGCTCATATCCACTGTAAAATTGTTTGAATTTTCGATCCGTAAAACATATACACCGAACTGAGCTTTGAACCTTCCTATGAGGATTTGAGGGAATCAAATCAAAATTTCTCCGAGGAAATCAACCAGTATCCCATGTTATATTATACTACGATGGAAAATATTAAAATTAATAACAACCAGACGAAGTATTTCTAGTGACATTCAAATGGTATAGCCACGGCGGAATGGCTAGAAGTTTCTCAAAGAAAGTAGAAATCTACGTATATGTGCACGATCCTTCGCAGTAAAGCACTATTTAAGCAATAGTGAAAATCAGACCTGAAAAAAAATTCAGGCCTGTACGGGATTCGAACCACTGACCTCTGCGATACTAGTGCAGCGCTCTACCAATTGAGCTAACAAGCCAACTGGGAGCACTATTGCTTAAATAGTGCTTTATTGCGAAGGATCGTGCACATATACGTTTCATAACCGCAGTTCGTATATATGTATTTCATATGTTTGTTGTTTAAAGTAGAAATCATTTACATATAAGTGTTCCTGTCCAAAAAGCATACCGAGTTGGGACAGATGGTTTACTGCCTTTGTTGAACGGCCACAACTCTTGTAAAAGTCGACGGAAGTGTGTTGATCTTTCAACTAAAAACTCAGATCTGCAAGCGTGCTCCGCAAAATAAAAGAACAAAGAGAAGTCTTTGTATTTACAAGTTAGTGTCTCTATTATTGAATTCAGGTTTAGCAAAATTTGATCCCCAGCAATCACTTCATTATTGATTCATCATTTCCAACGAATAAAGTCTGTATTTCAGATACACGCCTCTTTAGAGGGGAAATTCCCTTGATACTTCTCGGAAACTAGAATTGTTCTAGATTAGAGGTCCATCTTCGCAGGAAAAATTAATCTGCTGTCCTAAACAACCATTTCTTTCCTAAAAGATACGAAAAGCTACTATGGCAAACTTTAGATTTCTGCTGCAATTGTGATTTTTCGAGTTGCAAGATGCATCGCAGCTTTAGCCCAAGGTTAATAAATACAAAGGGAAACAAAGACGGGGAGCTTCCACGTTTAAAAAATCCTATGATATTGCAGAAAGTATATTTGATTTTGACCCTTTTCTCGACTAGATCTCAAAGGTTTATTTTTCATAATCATATTGGGATCCAGCGATGTCTGGCAACGTTTTAAACATCACTGATGATAAGGGAGTGTTCAAGTCCAACGAAGTGGAGTCATTTTTAAGGTAATACATCCAACTAGAAGGTCAGTGGGGTAGAAAAACTGTTATAACATCTGAGAGAAATATTTGCGTTTCATTTTGGCAAGTTTTTATTAGAATAAAAAGCTCGATAGCAAACATGACAAAAAAAAGTCACCTTAGAATTAGGAAAGTGTTTGAGAGGACATGACTTACGTTGACAAAGTTGGCAGCTCTAAACTTTTGTTTTTTTTACTTGACCAGAGCCCTGTTGAGTACTGAATTTCGTGGATTTCGGTTTTCGAGATAAAGGCTTCAACAAGAGTATTATAAAAAAACTAACCGTACAGGACGAACAGCTGTCAGCTGAGGTGTTTGTAGAGGACACCTGTAAAGGACACCTTGTCTTGTCTATTTAATTAACTTTGGTTGTCCGAACTTGACATTTGTATTCCTGTTAAAATCTGTTGTTGACAGCATCTTATTGGCACATGTTCTGGCCAGTTCTTTACGATCGGCCGGCTGCAACGTGTTAGGGTTAATGGTTAACTGTCCTCGGCCATCTCGCCTCGTGGTGGCATCCCACAAGGTACGCACTTCGCTCCCTTCTCTTCGCTATACTTGTGAATAGGCTGACCAGTGAATGGTGTACTCGTCTTAAGTACGTTGATGACCCTACCGTCTTGGAACTTATTCCCATGCAGGAACTCTAATAGCTATCTGCCCATCATCGCATCTAATGTAAATAAGTACTCCCTAGAGCGCATTATGAAACTAAACCCTAAGAAGTGTAAAGAGATGGTTGTTGACCTTCTCCAGTATAAATCAACATATTCCAGTCCTCTACTAATAGGGGGTGCCCTAATCGAAAGAGTATCCCAGTACAAACTGCTGGGGGTCATAGTTTCTGATGACCTTTCATGGAACGCACATTGTGAGTATATATACGATAAAGCTATCAAACGCCTCTACGGGTTGAGGATTCTTAAGAAAAGTGGACTTTCACCTTCCCAATTAGTATCTGTATATTGCAGTACGATTCGCTCTGTGCTCGAATATGCGTCCCCTGTATGGGCGGCACTTCCAGCCTACTTAAGTGACTTTTTAGAACAAGTCCAGAGGAAAGCTCTTTATTTTTGGCTTCCCTGATCGTTGTTATAGCGACGCACTACATCTTGCTGACCTTGAACTTCTTAGCGATAGGTGGCAACAAGCTTGCGTGAATTTCGCCAATTCCCGTCATGTGTCAGGAACACTTAGTAGTCTCTTTCGGGTTCCGCTGGTTTATTACCACGGTTATAATTTACGCTCATTCTCACAATCGTATCAGGCCTCTACTGGCAAATGCAAAAGATTTAACGATTTTATAACTGTCAGATTTCAAAACGTATGTCGCGACCACCCCCTGTAATTCAGTTATTACTGCATTAGGGTTGAATAAATAATTGATTGTTTGATTGATTGATTGATCACTAATTAAGAGCTAAGTTTACGTCTCACGCACACAGATTATAATTGTACCAAGAACCCCCTGTCTTGGACGATGATCGAAGTAGTTCAAGGTCTCGCTTTGTCTAGTACATAGGTTTTTTTCGAATGTTGTTTCGTGTGCAAGTACATTTACATTGTGTTGCAAATAAATGTCTGTCGTAACTTGAGTGTTCTGAGACTTAGGAGTCAAGAAAACACCTAAGTCGTCTTTGCTCTTTATTTACAAGTTATTGTAGAAATGCCTATCAAAGTTGATTAGATTAAAGACACATTTTTCTCACTCTTTGCGAAAGAATATCGAAAACTACCTCTGCAGAGCGAAACAATGGAAAACCAATTCTCAATTGAAAACTGCTCCACGCTCCATTGTCATACCACTCTACTATACTAGTTCACACTAACTTCTCAGCAGTAGCTCCTTGAGAGAGAGCAGAAACTCTACTTCTTGATCGTGTCCTCTTCAGCAAGCGAGATGGAGCGGAGTCATACCTTTATTGTTCTGTGAGTCAATAATACGTATGTTTTTCCCAACTAAAAAGTTCTCTACTATTGGTAACCAGCCTTACCTCATAAAATAGAGAAATACAACAGCACTATTGACTTAAGGAGAACAACGTAAATGAAGGTCCTTCGCCGAAATAAAATGGTCGAAAAGAGACGCTCAAGGAAAGTTGGTGTACCCCCAAGAACCTGACCTTTCTCTTCATCAGTCTTTTGTTCTCTAACTTAAGATAGTGTTTTGTTGTTGTAGTTTTGTCGACTGTAATATTTTCAATTGTGGCAGATGATTTCCACGCACACCTTTTGTTAGTTTTGTTATTTTGTCATCACCTTTTATTAGTTTTGTTATTTGGATTAGATTCACGTCTTTTGTAGTTGAATTCAATCTTATATGCTCACTGGTCCGTTCCAGATTCTTGACACTCGTAAATTAAAATAATGTTTCCCTGGCATCGATTTTCGGATCAGTTTCCTTTCGGTGTCCTTGTCAGTTCTTTTGCTCAGTTTGTCAATAGTGCTTTTTGGTTGGCTCGAAAATGATAGGCCACAGACACGCCCTTGATCGAGGCAAACAAATATACAGATTTAAACACCATATTAGACGTCCGATAGGAATGTTGTTTGCTCATTTGGGCAGATATCTGGAATAGAGATTCAGGGTTTCAGTAGTGTATATGGACATAGGAAAAACCGGCGAAGAGCAAAACGCCAATCGCTAGTTTTAGAATCAAAACTTCAGAGATCAAGTTAAAGACCGATAGCGAAAAATTACACCAGGTTTAGTCCCGCAAGGCTCTGACCAAGATCTGACTGGAAAGGGAAAAGGAGCAAAATTCCCTTGGATGAAAAGAAGTGCTTCCTTTAGAACCAGTTCTAAAACCAGCCTTACTCTGAACACAGAAGATTTCTTAAATCTTGAAGAGATCCAGATACATGTGCCACATATCACCATAAACGGCAGAGATTGTTTGTAGCAGTGAAGAGATTTCTCAAGAAGTGGAAAATCTCCAGTGGGCAGTGGTGGTGGCGACTGATCACGAGTTTCCCGCCATCGTATCGGAGTTATCGATGCGAGTGACACAACATTGACACCGCGAATGGCTATAGGAGTCTTTGAAAAGAAATTTGGGGAAGTGATCATGTCGGGAATGACTTGGATTCTCGACAAGAAACTGCAAGGAAGGAGTAAATCACCAGTACTACTAACGAAAAGCTTAGTTATCGGATTTTGAGTTCACCGTTGAACGACCTGACCTAAGACAAGAGTCTGTCGGTCAGTGTTTTAAAAAATAACTCTTCGGTACATTTGTAATTCGTTTTCGTATACACCTAGTCGTAGATGACTGGATAAGTTGTATCTTTTTCTATCAGGCGCCATATGGGAAAATATCGTCAATGAATTTGTATTGGTTTTAACAAATATAATCGTACCATTACATAATATATTTATGCCTAATAAAATATACTTGTACCCATGCATGATATCATTAAAATTATTAAAAACTAGATC